CAGAGCACTGGAACAGGCTGCCCAGAGAGGTTGTGGAGTCTCCTTCTCTGGAGATCTTCAAAACCTGCTTGGATGCGGTCCTGTGTCACATGCTCTAGGTGACCCTGTGTGTGTAGGGGGATTGGACTAGATGACCTCTAGCGGTCCCTTCCAACCTTAATTCTATGATTCTCTTCCAGAAAGCGCTTGTGCTGGACCAGGAGTGCTCTGTGTTGGCAGACCAGGAGGTGAAGCTGGAGAACAGGATAAGTTTTGAGTGAGTGCGAGCTTCAGGATGGGTGCTGTTGCCTGTGTGTGTCCAGCATCATTCACAGCATCCTGCCCTCCCAAATGTACCCCAGTCCCAACTCCCTGAGTAGGCCCAAACACATGGGCTGGGCCCATCGCGTCCTGCCCAGCTCGCCTGTCCTAGCCCACCTCAGGCTTCTCCGTGAGACAGCATCTCCTGCCTCTCTGCAGGCTGGTGATTTCCTCCCTCAATAAGACCGTCCGCATCACAGCAAAGTCAACCAAGCGCCTCCGGGAAGCGCTGGAGCCGGTGCTGGGGAAATACGGCGTGAGCGTGGAGCTGGTGTCGCTGCGGCGGGTGAGACCCCCTGCCGAGAGCGTGGGCCCTGTGTGGTCCAGCTCGGGTGCTCGTGGAGACTGGGGCTTGGGCCAGGGCCTGCCCGCTCCTCCTGCCCTAGCAGGGGTGCTAGGGAGCAGCGCTCAGCGTTGGGCCTGGCCTGCAGTTCTGCAGGGAGTTGCTAGTGATTGCGGTGGGTGGTGGCAGCCAGCAGTGGTTGTGCTCTGTGCTGTGCAGCCCACAGAGCCTGGCCTGGTCAGAGCTCCCCTGGTCTCCCAGGCCCCTGGCCTGGCTGCCTTTGCCCAGTGCCATGGCACAGTGAGCGTGACGCTGGGTCACTCTGTTCCTGCTGCAGCAAGGCGAACCGGGGACCTTGGACCTGGAGAAGCTGGTTAGCACGGTGGCTGCTCAGAAACTTGTCCTGGAAACACCAGCAGGTAACATCTAGGAAGACACTGGAGCCTCTCTGTGGCCCTGGCTGGCCCACAGCTGTGTTCCCAGCCTGTCCTGGGCGGTCCCACAGGGGGATCCCATGGTGATTGCTCCTGGCCAGGGTTCCTGCTCCCTTGGACAGGCTATGTGCTGTTGTGGGCTCTCCAGAACTGGGGCAGTGTCTCAGGGTGGTGCTGGGCCTCACTGCCCTTTGCATTGCAGGCATCAAAGTGATGGAGAACGCCGAGGGTGCCACTGCCCCGTCCCCGCTCCGGAGCGAGGTGAGTCCCACTGCCCTGCTCAGAGATGGGAGGTGCCCTGGGGTGCTCTTGTGATCTATGGGGACAGAGTGCCCCGCTGTGCCCCCTGTGAGTGTGTGGGGATGCTGAGGCAAGAACCAGGCCCGGGGAAGCCCTGCTCGCTTGTCCCATCCCTAAAGCGTGGGCTGCTCATCACAGGAGGGAAGTCCAACGGGAACAGAGGCCGACACGCTGTGGGAGATGCCCTCCTCCTTCTCCAGGCCCCGCTCGTCAGCTGCCACAAACCTGAACCGGCGCACGTATGACCTGGAAGGTGAGACCTGTGAATCCTAAACTCAAGGGACTGGACAAAACACTGAGTGAGGGAAGAGGGCTCCTAGTGTGCTGGGGGTGCGTGGTGGGTCCTGCGGGTGCTGGGGTGGTGGAGGCTGCCATGCAGCAGGAGTGGAGTGTGCCTGGGGTGTGCTGCCATTAGCTGCAGGAGGCTGCTGAGGGGCTGGGGCAGGGGGCATGTGCAGGGCCTGGG